CCCTCTGACACACATGTAACTCGTTACCAATCTCTTACAACAATGTAATTGGTGACAACTCTCTGACACATTTTTTATCTGGTGACAACTCTCTCGCAACAATGTTACAAGAAACCACTCTCTAAAAAGCAATGTAACTTGCGACAACAATGTAAATTTTGACCACACTCTGACCTTAAATGAACTCGTGACGACTGTCTCATACCAATATAACTTATTACATTTCTGATACACCAATGTAAATGGTTACATCTCTGATACCAATTTAAAAGATGACCATATCTCCCACACATGTAACTGGTGATAAATTTCTGACATCATTTATCTGGTGATCATTCTCTTACACTAACTTAACTTTTGACCACTCTCTCACACCAATGTAACTAGTGAACACTCTTTGACAATTGTGTAAATGATACCACTCTCTGACACCAATGTATCTATTGACCCCTATCTGTCACCAATGTAACTGGTAACCAATATCTAAAAGCATTGTTTTTTGGTAACCATTCTCTGCAACAGTGTAACTGGTGAAAACTCTCTTACACCATTGTAACTGTTGACCAAACTCTGACACCTATGTAACTTTAGAATACTTTATGACACCAATGTAACTATTGACAACTCTATGACACCAATGTAATAGGTGACCAATTTGACACCAATGTAACTGGCGACAACTCGATGACACAAATGTTAATGGTGAAAACTCTATGACAGCGACATAACTGATGACCATTCTTTGACACCAATGTAACTAATGACCACTCAATGACGCCAATGTAACTGGTTACAAATTTCTTACATAAATGTAACTGTTGACCACTCACTCATACAAATGTAACTGGCTACAACTCAATGACACCAATGTAAATGTTGACCACTCAATGACACCAATGTAAGTTTTACAATTCTCTAACACAAATGTAACTGTTGACCACCCTCCGACACCTAAGTAACTAGCGACCACGCTATAACATCAATGTTACATTGATGTGAGAGATTGGTCAAAAGTTAAATTAGTGGAAAGGAATGGACACCAGATAAATGATGTCAGAAATGTATCACCAGTTACATGTGTGGGAGATATGGTCATCTTTTAAATTGGTGTCAGAGATAGAACCATTTACATTGGTGTATCAGAAATGTAACTCGTGACATCACTCTCATACCAATGTGATTGCTGACAACTTTGACACCAACGTAATTGGTTACCTTTCTCTCACACCCACGTAAATGATGATCACTCTCTAAAAAAATGTAACCTGTGACCACTCTCCGACATTCATTTAACTGGTGAACACACCGTCAGATCAATGTAACTAGTAAACACTCTCTGACAGAGATGAAACTTGTGACCAATCCGTGACATGAAAGATTTTGGTGACCACTCTCTGACATCAATGTAACTGGTGAATTTTCTATGACACCAATGTAGCTGATGACAACTCTGTGACACCAATGTAACTTGTTACTACTCTTACACTTATGTATCCGGTGACCACTCTCTTAAACAAATGTAACTGGTGACCACTCTCTGACACCATTGTAACAAGTAACCACTCTCTAACACAAATGTAACTGTTGACAACTCTCTGACACCAATGTAACTGTTGACGACACTCTGAATCTAATGTAACTGGTGACCACTCTTTCTCTCTCTCACTAATGTAACTGTTGACCACCCTCTTACACCAATGTAACTGGTTACCAATCTCTGACAGCAATGTTTTCTGTGACCATGACCTGACACCAATGTAACTGGTATCTACTCTCTAACATTAATTTAACTGGTGACTACTCTCTGACACCTATATAAACTATTTACTTTGTTGTTAAGGCTAAACTGAGAAGATAATTACATTTGCTACATTTTAGACAAGCAAATCAATTGATACAAATAGGCGGTGACACTTTTTTTTAAAAATTCTGAATTGACGTAATAATTTAAAACCATCATTCTACGGTACATGATAAAGATATAGATTTATGTTCAATTCTGTTTTTATTAAATATATTCACTACCGTGCGTATATTTATTAAACAATTTTCTATGTCAGACAATCACTGTACGAATTTTCAACTGGGCAGCCTAAATACTAGTCAGTTATTTATATAATTTTGTGTATCAAATTAGTTCCCTCTGAAATTTGCCTGCACAAAATTAAAGCTTTACAATTTGTTTCTATGGATTTTTAGTCTATGGATGTAAAAATAATTAATATTAATTTTTTTTATGATTTACTTATATAACTAATGATTGCATCGAAAATATTATTCTAAATGGAAATAAACTGATTTAAAATGTATTACACCTCTATTTCGTTTTTGATGTCTTATATTTTGTTATTCCATAAAACACACGTTTTAGAATTAATTAAAAACACCAATTATTTTAACAATTGTTAATACAAATATTAGATAAAATATAGAAGGAACAGTCTTATGAAATGACTACTGACCTGAAACCCAAGGCTGAGAACAACTCACTCTATCAAAAAACTTTTAAAAATAACACTAAACTCAGTCCATTAACTGATTTAAAACATTCCCAATATAATCTCTACACATTAAGAAACAATACATCACATTTTATAATCCAAAAAGATCACTAATTATAAATTCAAATTAAAGACCACTTATTAAAAATGCATTTTAAATCATCATACTACAAGATTTATATTAATTAAAAACGAAAATTAACTTATTAGAAAACATCCTAGCAAAAAAATAAAGATGAGACATGGCTGATAAAAGCAGCCTTTGAAGTTATTCAAAATATTTAATTGAGCTCACAAGCTATTTTGTAAGCATAGTATGTATTCTTTCAGCTTTATATTTTGTGTATTTGTTTTGAAGATGACCAAAGCAATATTCAAATGACAAGTTGTCTAAACTTATTATGCCGTATTGTGTTTCAAGCGAAATTGTGTTGCTAAATTCGCCAGCATTTTCTTTTTGCCTTTCTCAAAGTTCATTTCACAATATCAATATCCTTCCACGCATTTCTGTTATTTTCAATCTTCACTAAAACTTCCTAACTTGACACAACTTTGTGTACTTCACTACGTCTTGGGTTTTGAGCCTAGCACTTGCCCTACGCATAATCTTTCGCTTTTTATTATCTTATAATTTATAATATTTCAAGCATGTCTTTAAAATAAGGAGATGTTTTACCATATATTTAAATCAATTTAACATATGTATTTTCCAGGCTAAAAATAAAATCTTGCTGAAGCGAAAACTTGAAGGGAAAAAAAAACAACATGGGAAACTGTTGTTGCTGCAAAGCCAAAAATTATGAACGTATTAATAGTAAGTTTGGCTCACGTTATTTTTAAATGAAACTTCAGTATAGAATGTGCTAAGCCAATAAAATGAAATATTAAGGTCACGATATGTGAAATTTTTATTAAAGATACAAACAAATTTAAATAACGTTACGGCTTAGTGTCTTCATTTAGTGTGTGTATATTTGTATATACCACTTTTTAATAATAGGTATTCATTTTCCTTTAAATCAAGTACAGTTTTGTATTGTTTCTAGACAATCGAGGTGCCCACTTGAACTCGGCATACAAGGTTTGCTTTCTATCAAATTCAATACTTTTTTTTTTAAAAATTTGCAGAACTATATATAACTATTTCAAAAAAAAATGATTAAAAATGCCCTAGTTTAAATGATTAAATTCATTTTACTTCCATTCGTTCTTAGAAAATTAAGTCAATGATTTAAAAAAAAATTAAGATATATTAATGATGTTAATAGAAATAATGATTATTAACATTACATCTTCCTAAAAAGATTAAATCAAATAACAAAATACATACATTTTATATATCTTTTTAAAGTTATAAAATGGGTATTAAGAATCATTTTTGTTAAATGCTATTGGAATGTAATTTTTTCACGCTTTCATGAAATATTATTATAACGTATAACTGTTTAAATTACAATTCAGTTTGTCTAGAAAAAACAATAAGTCTGCCTGAAATAAATGAATTTATAATTTCAACATGAAAACTGAAATTGGTTAACAATTTTTTGAGTTTAATACCATGCACGCAAGTTAATATTGAACAAACATTTAAATGCAAAAAGCGTTATAAATATAAATGCCCACTTTTTAAAAAAAATAATTTCAACTTTATTATGATAATATTTTATAAATTATAAAATATATTAGATAATAATGAATATTTTATTTTATTTCGGAGTTATTTTACATTTTAATAGACAACTGCCTATGGATCATCAAAAAGTAGTTTTATTTCTGTACTGGATTACGCTGATATTGATATAGACAGGTAAACTGATCACTCATTTGAAACCGTTCAGATGTAAAATTGTAAAAATTGTCATCTTCATAAAGGCAAACGCAATAATCACCATTTCATTTTTAAAAGTGATTAGCAGTTTTGTTAATCAGCTCCAATTCATAAGGAATATTTATAGTTTTTTTTACCATGACTCGCAAAGCATGGGAGAAGGTGCTGACTTTCTCGCACATATTTTAATTTTTTTTTATTTCAACATAAAGTGATATATTTTGGCATATAACTGAGATTCTAGTGACATTTTTATGTAAAGAAAATAGTAAATTAAGGCGGACTTTATTGGAAGACAGAATAAAAATTTATAATTTTTAGCTACTGACTTTACCGTAAAGATTAACTTCTATACTAATATAAAGAAGTTTGATTTTGGAATATTTATATTGCAAATTGGTAATTGAGTTAGTAATTCTAAATAATTTAGTGCAGCTTGCAAAAACAGTGACAAAAAATTAAGAGACAGCTAATTTATTTCAACCCAAAACAAAAACGTTTGTTATCATCTTAAAAATATGCCTTTCCACAGTAACAAGAAAAGTTTCGCTCCAAGTTCTAAAAGTAATCGAGGTGCTGGGACACTTGCCAGAGATACAACAGATACATCATCCAAGAAAATAATAATTGAGACTGACAATGGTTTACATGTAAGAAAAGATCTAGACATCGATCTTCTTTTGATAGGAAAGACGGGCACGGGAAAAAGCGCTCTGGGGAATACAATTTTAGGGAAAAGGGCATTTGAAAGTCAAGCAAATACCAGCTCTATAACTGAAACAGTACAGTACGAGTTTGGTGAGTTTGAAAATCGCGTTATTAAAGTTGTTGATACGCCTGGCGTTGGAGACACCAACCGAGACAAAACGGAAGCAACAGAGCATCTTTTAGAAGCAATGAAGCACGCTATAGTAAATAATCCTGAGGGTTATCATGCATTTCTTATAGTTTTGAAATTTGGCGAAAGGTTTGCATCTCAAGACACTGACACAATCAAAACGCTGAAAGCCATTTTTGGTGAGAGTTTTCTTAAGGATTTCGGCATCCTAGTCATGACGAATGGAGACGGGTTTGAAATAGAAAGTAAAGAAAATCGTCAAACTTTTGAAGAATGGTGTAGTGTACAACATGGAGTATTTCCAGAACTTTTGAAAGAATGCGACAACAGAATAGTATTATTTGATAACAAGACGAATGAGGATGGCAAGAAAAATAATCAAATAGCGACACTCATAAGTTTGATTGACAATTTAAAAGCCAGTGGTCAGCGTTATAGAAATACAATTTTTGACGAAGCTTATGCTAGCCGCGAAAAGTTGCAAATAGAGGCAAACATACCAATCATAAATGAAGAGTACATGAAAGAATATAGTTTGATTTTAAGCAAGTTAAGGAGCATTGATATTTATGGCAACGCCGATGAAAACATCGCTAAACTAAAAGAACTTTCTGAAAGAACTAACAAACTACAGAATTACATCTCAAAAGAAGACAATGGTTCTGGCCTTCTCCATGACAAGTTTAAATTTATCGAATATTTGCAATTCAGCATAAATGAGAAAATCAATTATTCTAATTTTCAAAAGGGAATAGAATTAAATAAACTTGGCTTAGAGGCAAAAATAAAAATGTGCGAAAAAGATTTTAACATCAAAATACAAGCACTAGAGGAGAATCACATAAAACAAAGGAAAATAGAAAACAATAGATTAGCACAGGAAAAAATGAGACTTAAAAAAATGGAGAAGGATATTTTGAAAAAAATAATAAAAGAAGAGGAAGATAGATTAATAAAGAATAGACAAGAGGAGAAAGAAATAATTAGAAAAAGAGACGAGGAAGACAAAAGAAGAAAAATAAAAGAAGACACAAATAGAAAGGAACAGTGGGAGCATTTAATTAAAGAAAGGCGTCAAGAAGATGACGATCGAAAAGAACGATTGGCGGTCGAGGCCAAGGAGATAAGAAGAGCAAGAGAAGAAGAACGCGAAGAAATAAAAAAAGAAGGTGGCAAGATAATAAAAAAAATAGAAGAAGAGATAAAATTAATGGAAGAAAATTTTAAAAATCTTACAAGCAAATTAAACTCGGAAGCTAAACGACTTATAGAGGAAGAAAAGAACAGAATATCTTTAGAAGAACACAATTTAGAAAGTTGCAGAGAAAGGCAGCGAATGGAAGAGGAAAATGCTCAAAGAAGTTATGAAAGAATAAAATCTGAAAATGATAAATTTAAATTGCGTATTGTCGAAGTCATCAAAGCTATCTTTAAGAAAATCTTCTCATACATTATGAATTCAGTAGTTAGCGATGATCTACACACTTTTTCATTTTAAGTAATAGAATTTGATTCAAATTTACAAAATTGTTCGTGTTAAATTTTTTAAGCTCTCAAAATATATTAAATTGACCTTTCGGTCACGAGGGATTGGTAGAGTAAGCCTTATTTTTTATCACATTTTGTTTTTAAAAACAAAAGTTATTATTAATGTACAACCATTATTTTATGTATACATTTGTCAACAATATCAATTCCAAACTTAAATTTCTATTTTGAATTCGTGTTTCTTTTTTTTAAAATTGTATTTTTATTTCTATTTCCATTTTGTGTGTGTCTGAGTGCGCAAGACTCAATACTCTTCCCCCATATTGCCAACGCTGACAAATTTCCCTTAAGGCAGGTAGCACAAAAGGACACAAAAAAAAGCTCAACATTTATCTTAATAGGATGCTATTGATTTTATTTCGGGTCAAGGTCAGATACTAATCCTTTTAAAAAAATGTAGAAGACAGGAAAGCTGATGATGATTTTGTACATTTGTGCCTTGTAATTTCTCTTTTTTTTATTCCTTTTGTTTTGACGATATGATTATATTTTGCTGATGAATATGTATTGCTTTATCTATCTAGAGAACACCTCAAAGGTTTTTTCGATGATGATGATGATGATTGACTACTTCTATAAAACTTATCTGCATGCTATTCTATCACGCTCAAAGCATCTGCTGTCATACATTCTATTTAAAGAAAAATGTATTTAAATGTCTCTTAAATTATTTTTATCAAAGATGGAGGCAAACTGTTCCATAAATTCGGCGCTATTTCTTAAAAAAAGAGCACACCGTATGACTTCTTTCTCTGTCCATCCACACAGGGAACTCTTATTAGCGACCAATGCTCCCTTTAAGCTTCGCGGCTTCTAACTCACAGACTTCGCGCAGCAGCTTTAAGTATCCGCGCAGCAAATTTCCACGTAAGAGTGTGTTTGTGGGTCTTAAATTTTGAACACACAAAAAAATTGATGCTGTAAAACTTTGCACACAGCTCTATGATTTGCACACGAAGCAGCAAAACTTAGAGGGAACATTGGTTGGGACTATGAAAAGCGAAGGTTCTTTAGGGAGATAGGAAATCAGATCTTTTAGATAGGTACAGAGCCTTCCATACAGCTATAGGCCAGGGACAGAATTCTGTGGTCAAATGCGCTCACTCACAGGTAGCCAGTGGAGATGCCCAAAATCTAGGGTGATGTCGTAAGATTTCTTTATCCGTCATGTCATACAATTCGTACTGTAGTATTTTGTACCTTCTGGAGTCTCTGAATTTGGTTTCGAGGTAAACCCCATAGGAAACTTGTTCAATAATTTAATCTTGATTGGATTAGAGATATTGCTACTGCAATGGGCACGTAGATGGCAGAAACAAGAGTTGACCACAGAATTGATATGAGTCACAATTGTGAGTTTACTGTCTGTGTAGACGCTAAGGTTATCTAACAATGTTGGACTAGGGGATCTCAGAAGGAGCAACATTTCTTTTTGTGGTGGCAACCTTCAGAAGATTTCACTCTCATGAAATGCGTTTCCATCAGCAAGGTTATCAATAATTGCTTTAGCATTAGCAAAGTTGGCATTTCATCTATTTGTACCAAGGCTGGCAGTACCAGGGTGATTTCAATCATGGTTTCGGTGACGATATTTTTTTTCTTGCGTAAAGCTCATCATGATGCTGCGTCCAAAGCTGAAGATAATCGCTTAGGGTTTTGTTAACTTAACCTGTCTATAACGTTACAACTGCATGCTTTGAGGGGAGTAGAATAATAGCGGACCATGTCTCTTCACGTCTACCATGAGACCTATTGTTGCTCATTGTGGACATAATTTTCTCTCTTACACAGTTGCAATAGTGTCGTAAACAGGATTCTTTTCACCCAACACGGCATTAGACTTGGTTCTTTTCAGGGGACGATCAAGTGTGCTGCACTGGCAACAATGTAAAGGTCCCCACGGCTGCTTCCGGTTATAGTGTCATGCTATGAATGTATCAATAGCAAGCACAGTTGACATTTGACACATTCCCAGTAAATTATCTCGATTTTTCACAATGCTCCTGCTTTATACTTGTACACACTGATAAGCTCTAGTTCCCAAGCAAGATTTTAAAAAAATATATATTGCCTACATATGGACTTTGACAAAGATCAAGTTGTTATTATTCGTTACATGTCCCATTAAGTAAAATAATTTTAAAAAATACATTTGTTTTAAAGATCGCCGTAGAAGAAATGACAAGCAATATTTGCAAACTTCGATTCGGTTCAATAAAATATAGAAGTGGGTATTTGCACCCTGATATCAGAAGTGAGAGTGGGATTAAATAACTTTAAAAAAATATTATTGTTGGGTTTGTACGAGAAAATGAGGTATCAAATGAAAGATAATTGAACTGAAATTATGTTTGCAAACTTACTTCTTCAGTTTAACTAAAATAAACGACCACAAATCATACCCGAATGGGTTTAGTCTAAAGAGGCCCGGCTATTTGGACTTGTTGCCAATGAAAACTTATTCTTTAAAGTATTCCGTCTCCATGCCCCCACCACAACGCAAAAAAACTGTTTTTCTGTTTTTCGAAGGGGAACATGAAGAAAAATTCCCGATAACTGCGTTGGGTAAGATGCATTTTAAAAATATTCGCATGAGCGTTTGGTGCGTAATATTTTCTATTCTTGATCTACTATGGTTTCTGAAATAAATCTGCTGTGTAAAATCGGGTTGGAATTAGAATATTAAAAAAGTTAAGATGCGTAAAAAAATGTGCGCTAGCGAGCTGTGGGAAAAGGCACACTAACTGTGATTCCTATAAAGTGCGTTTCTTGAATGCAAATTGTGTCAAATTGTTAGCCCAACCTTCCATTACTCGATATTTTATTTTATAAATGATTTATACGAAAAACTTAGTCATTGTTAGATATTTTATTTCTATTGAAACACTAAAAATTTTATTAGTTATTTTTCTTCAAATGCTTTATGTTTTTATTGGTATTATATTTTGCTTTTGAAGATAGTAATATGCTTTAAATTTTATTTATTTATTCAGTCCATATAATGAAACAAAAAATACTTATATTTCTTTAAATCAAAGGACGTTTCGGCATAAAGCCTTCCTCAGCCAACAATAGAAATGTTGGCTGAGGAAGGCTTTATGCCGAAACGTCCTTGTTTTTTGTCCTGTTAGCTTATTTCAAGCTTCCACATACCTTGTTTCACTATTTCATTCATTTACATAGCTTGAAAGCAGTCCCTTCATTTATTTAATAAAAACAAGGGCTACAATTTCAATTTTTTTTATATATATTTGCAAAATTCAACCAAAAAACCCCCCAAAAAAACGTTCGATTTTCTAAGGCTTGTGTTTTTGTTGTGTTTTTTCACTGATAAATACAGACTTCGGTAACATGCAGCCGTTAAGATTTATATGTTCACATGACCGTCATCTCTTACGTTTACGGCATCAAGTAATTTTTCTAGACCTTGCATTTTCTATTTTAAAAAAATATTTTGCTATATGGACCACCCCCTCGCTTCAAAAGACTCGTCATCAAAATAAGTAAAGAAAAAAACCATGGTTTAAGTATTTAAAGTTATCAAGTAAGTATTTTTTTTTTAATATGTTAGGTTTGGGACTAAATCCAAATTTAAATAAAAGGTCTTTGAAGAAAAAAGTCTTAAATATCAACACGTGGACAACATTCGCTACTTTAAACCCATGCGATCCATACATACATTCCCGACGGTTGTGACTAAATGCAACCTCAGGGGTTTTCTCTTGATGTGTCCAAATGCGTACCGGCGCATAGTGACACACCGCTCTCATTTTTAGTTAAAAATAACAATGAAATCTTGCGTCCCTCAAGACTTCCGGCTATGGCTTGCTGTCGGCGTGATTTTAATTTAAAAACCTGAAGTTTTTATCTTGTTTCACTTTAAAACTACGTGTGCTTTAGAACGGTTCGCCTATATCTAGCATGTCTTCGTTCGAGGTGCCAAAAATTTAGCAGTAATCAGTCCAGCAATGACGAATTTTTTTTATATTTAATATAAAACATTCTACCGCATAAATCCCAGTGTAAAAATGTTTCCTTTTTATGTTGGTTTTGTAGATGGTTCGATAAATCAGTAGAAAACCAAAATATGGATCGCAACAATAGATAATACGTTCTTTCCTCCTCACACCATAATTTTCTTTCAAGGTTTGGTCATAATCCTCGTTTTACAAAAAATGATTATTTTTAAAAATAAAGTCTTAACATATAGTAGGTAAAGCATAAATTCAAGATTATTTTACTTAGCTTCTAGGGATGTGTTACTGATTCTTTTTGTTTTTTTTTCTTTCATTAAATTCTTTTACACGTGTATGACTCATAATCAAACTTGTATCAATGCTCGGT